AGAGCAGAGAAGAATAAAACAGATCCGAATGGCTTGTAAATTTTGATAGAATTTGAAGAATGCATTTAAACCCAACTACCTCTATAAAATCACAATATAAAAAAAATTCCAAGAAAATCATTTTCAAATATGTTTATCTTACTTATGATATGATATTGTTAGGTTGTTTTTTTTTAATTGGCAGTTGCCTAGAGCTGGTGAAGTAGGCTGTATATAAATGAGCTGCTGAGAGAACATCTGAAGCAGCACCAGACATGGGAGGAGAAAACACAGCAGGGCCATGCATGGGATGTAGACAGACAGACATTGGGAATTCCTACCAATGACTTGAAAGGACTGGACCCCATTGAGGCATTGATCATAGGGGCAGAAGAACAGGCATTAAGCACCAGATCCATGGAAGCTGGGGTCTACCTTACCAGACAGGACCTGAGGATGTGCAAACTATGCAGAGAGGCATCAGAGACCGTGTAAAATATAAGGGTAGGATATAAGATGCAGGCAGCACCAGCATACAATGAATGGCACAGGCAAGTAGCTGGCATTATGTACAGGAACATCTGCATAGTGTAAGGGCTAGAGCCGTGATGGCGAACCTATGGGACATGTGCCAGAAGTGGCATGCAGAGCCCTCTCTGTGGGCACGAGCGCCATCAACAGCTACTCTTCTGGTGGGCATGCATTAGTGGTGGGTTGCAGGCGGTACGCCCCGGTACAGGCATACCAGAGCCTGCCTGGAGTACTGGATGCCGTTCCGGTACGGTGCTCTGGAGGGCCCACCTGCCCACCCCAGCTCCTTACTGGTCTTTTAAGTCTTCGGGGCTTCCTCGCATGTGCACAGCACATACAGCTTCTGTGCGATGCTCCACTGAGCAGCTGAAGCATCACGGAGGCTCACAGAGGCGCTAAGATACATGCGTGCGCTGTGCACATCCATGTGGATGCCACTGGGCCCATTCCAACCGTACCAGTTGGAATGGGATCCGGAACCCACCACTGGCATGCATGCTGGCCAGCTGGTCTTCATGCATGCCAGAGCACTGGAAACCTGAAGATCAGCTGGTTGGCATGCACATGCCTGTTTTATGGATGTTTTCAGGGCGTTTTCTGGTCAGTTTTGGCCTGAAAATGGCCCCAAAATGGCCTGAAAATGCTCCCCAAATGGCCAAAAAAACCAGGTATGTGCATGCCAGCCATCTGGTCTTCAGTTTCTGGTGCTCTGGCATGTGCATATGCACACACATTCCGATTTGGGCACTCGGTACTGAAAAGGTTTGCCATTACTGGACTAGAGCTACCCAAGTCCAGGTGGGAGATTCCACAGAAGGCTGGGGTGAATAACAGGGTTAAGATCCTTGAGGCTTCCAGATCAGACAGGCAGGCAGGTGCTGCCCAATCAACCAGACTTCCTGGCAGTAGACAAGGATCAGAAGAAGCGGTGATGACAGATGTAACAATGGCAAGTGACAGCAACATGATGAAGAAGGTGTAAAGAAGGTGTATGAGAACCTGGAGAAGTACCAGGGCCAGGAGGAGGAACTGGAGAGGATGTGGAAAGTCAGAACCAAAGTGGCTCTAGTGATGGTAGGAGCACTTGGGGCTCGGAAAGTGATTTCAACAGATTCCCGGAAGAACATACAGCTCGTACCCTTTGGAACGAGATCCCCGTGGAGATTCGCACCCTCTCCACCGTCCAGGCCTTCCGCACAGCCCTTAAGAACTGGCTCGC